TATGAAGTAAATTGAAACTCATATTGGTCCAGTGTAGTAATAATTAGTAATATTATTATGTAGATACGAGTATATTTACAAGTTCCATACATTAACTATTGTGCCACGGCCCGCCAAGCATGATTACCTTACCTGCTTACAGAATCCTGCCTTTGTATTGAAAGGACATAACCGTTCCTCGACATAGCCTTTCTCACAAAATTATACTATCACATTCAAAAAGAATTTTAACTTCTGTCTCGTTCGCAGAACACATTCAACAAAAGAAAATAAATGTTACATGCAATACCCTAAAAGTTAACTACCCAAGAATATCTATATCGCGTCTAGTTCAACTTCTGAACATTTATCCCTGGTCCAAAGATCCCATGATTTCGGAGACCCGTCTCAACGTTTTTTTCCCCTCAGTTTTCTTGACGCGTGTCCTAATGTTACGCTTTTTGCCTGCACCATCCGTAGCAAAGCGTAAATTATCTCATTACATATTTTGTATTGATTTTATTTGTCTGTAAAACCCGCTTGGAAAGTTTTGCTTTTGTTAGACAAGTATCCAGGCGTGTTTTACTTCTATGTAAGATTTAAATTATAAAGTTTCTAGATTATTATATCTACGATACTTTGGATTACCAAATGCAAATGTTTCTTTTAACAAAGCTTTTAATAGAGCTTTACTTTTGTAATAGTATTTGACATACAGTTTGTATACGTATTTATTATCACAAACAAATATCCGGTATCCAATCTTCAGGTCTTATATGTAACAAGATATAATCGCAACCAGTAAGAAAAATACTAGTTTTCGTTTATGTATGTAATAATTCATACACAAACATATAATTAATTAATTATAAATAAAATATTCAAATTTTAATAATTTAATTGGACTATGTATTTAGATTCGTAATTAAATGGCGCCAGACACTGAGTGCGAAATGAAAAAACTTACAGTAAAACGCATTATGTTTAACTGATTAAGGTTTTTTTGGACAATCAGCGTTTTACGACTTTTAAATGTATGGCTTGGATGTCCGTTTTGGCATTATTTTTTTCTTTTTGTTTTAGCCAAGAAATTGCATCGCAACGCTATTTGCGGTATATTGTTAATTTAATAGCTCGTTTTTATGAGTCTAATAAAGTGTCATTTTGAAATAAAACGTTAATTGTCTTTCGAATGTTTCTGTGGAAATGTATTGGGTCTTGCTTTAATTACAGAATTAAAATTCTTGAAATTGCAATTGGTGCCTTCGTTTGCGTCATAACAACAGCTTTAAATATTTACGAGTTTGCTTTTTATTGAACTATATTAATTCTGTTCACGTTTTATGTAATCTCGCCCTTTTGGTCATTAGTGTAAAGTTTTTTTAGAATCCATTAAATGTACAGTAAGTAAGCAGTTTCCTTTCCTACTATAAATATTTTACTTTACACTTAGCGCAAAACACGGAACTATTCATTGTGTAATGGAATATTGCGTATTACACAAAAACAGGGCGAGTCGCCCGAGGTCGGCGTCTAATCATGCTTTAATAATGATTGATGATCTGCGAATAAAGTGAGCTGGCTAAAGCCTGTATCATGTGATTACGAAGCGGCTTTATATATAATCATATTTAAGTCACAGGAAATGATGTGTCATACTAGATCATAATCCACAACTTAATCTTTTACTGAGATCTTCATCACACTGACAAATATAGCTGCATCACAACTTTACTAGCTAGCTACTAAAATCAATGTTGAACTATTTTATAATTTATATATATTAGCAGCTGTACCGTGACGCGCTTCGCTGTGGCACATTGTGGTTGTATTGATGAGAAATAAAATAAACGAAAACAATATTTGAAGCGTGTTGTTAATCGTGTCAAAATTTTTGTTCAATCGGTGTAGACATTTTTGATTTTTTTGAAGCGTACATAAACCTACTTTAAATTTTTATATAAATAGATTATTCATTATTTAGGTATTTAAATTTCGTGCACATATACATAGGTGGCCTTCATTCATAAGGCATTCTTTACCACTCCAGCATCCTTGTGGTGTTGGCTGTAAAGACATGGTATAGAAATTATACTGATAGAGATAAAAGTTAAAAGGTCCAAATTTTAAGTTTTTATCTTGCAATTAAATTAATTCAGTATGCTCATATTTCAAATGTAAAATTAAAATTCTATGTTAGATGTTTTAGTGTGACTCTGTATCTTTTATGTAAACTTTATTTTAAGATTATGATATTAATCAAACTGACAACCAATCAGTATGAGTTTTCAGTCAATTATTATTATAATTTATTTGTTATTTAGAGTACATTAAAGTTATTTTTTTTTTATATTTAAAATAAAAGGTATATAATATAATAACAATAGATATAAATTTAATAACACTATTCACAATTCGCTGCAAGTGAATCGTAAGTCACAATCACATGTACTAAGTTGATTCGCCGAAGGAGACAATCGCTGCAGTTTATAACTAAATTGTAACGCCATTATCCTATTCCCTATTGATTGACGTTGCCGTGAAATTTTATTGAATATCCCTCTTGTTCAACGCGGCATCCTTTAGCATGTGTAAATTGCGCCAAGACTCAATCTTAACAAGTAGGGATGATGATTGATATCCGAAAGTAATTTTATCTCTTCAAAGTTCTGACCTACCCAAATTTACTGTGAGAATCATGAAATAATGGCTCGAAACCTCACTACAAAATGAGCCCCACTTTTAATACGAAAAAAGTAGAAGGGAGGACCCAGCGAGCAAAGAAATAATTTAACAAATATTGCTAGTTGTTTTTTTATTATAGAGTACAACTGTAGTAGAACTAATTATAACTTAAAGCAGGGAGACACAGGAATCACAAGAACTTAACTACTACAAATAAACCTGTCGTTTATTTATTTTATTTGCCAATAGTTGCCAATTGCAGATGATAATATTATCGTGTAACTTTGGTTCTATGTTCTTTGTAGTATTTTTAACAGCACGTTTACATTTTAATGGCATTGCATTTCTTAGGGCAACAACATAATGACATTTATTACAGTATGCGACGAATCTATTCAGGTGTTATCATTGACTATTTCAAAAGCCCCGACAGGACTAAAGAGGTGTGTCGCATCGGGCTGATCACAAACCCTCTTCAACAGTTTTGTTATTCAAATCTTGGGAGCACTAAACTCGCCTATTATTTAGCAGTTGGCACTCTAACACACGCTGTGCGAGCGAATGATCGATAACTACGAACATTGCCGTCTCTCACACTTGCACAATGGCACAATTGCACTTCTTGTCATGAATTATGAATCCCCAAAAATGTCGGTTGATACTCGTATATCTGTCAAGATTTAAGTCCTAACCATAAAATAAATATGAACAAACGACAAGATAACTTTGAATTCCAGCGCTTAAAGAGACGATCGAAAGACGGTTACCGTTACGAATGGGCTTAAAGGCAGTAACATAAAAAATGTTTTTTTAAACCAAATAGCACACACGGGCCGGGAGCAAAGCTCGGTCCGTAAGTCATCGAAGCTGTCAAGATAAGAATGAGTGAATGAACACCTGCCGCCACTGGTGTTACGCGCGCCCACGCTCCCGCGCAACGCTTCCATTTTGTAATACAATTTTGTTAAAGTGTTCGTAGCTTACAGTTTTGTGTTTTATGTTACCTGTCTTTAATGTCTATATTTGAATACATCAAATGATATTTTTAGACTGTTACCGAAATAAGGTAATTAGTAACTTAGGCTAGAGCGATTATACTCTTAAATCGCTTTAAAATTAAGAGTAGAAATGATAGATGTTAATTTTAAAGATTGTAAGTAACGAAACTTGAAGTCCGGAATCCGGAACTACTTTTATTTTTATTACCATTGAGGTTATTTGTTGTGTTACGTGCTCATTTCTTAGTTTTTATTGACATATTCGATAAAAAACATATCAGGTGATATCCGTTGTTAAAGATTCTTGAGAATGTGTTTATTTTTCCGCATTTTGTTTCTCGGTAGAGATTAGTCATAGTGAGACCCTCAGTATATATGAAAAAATTATTTAGTCGACGTTCTCGCACTATTTATCGATTTTAATTGGTCTAATTGATGGGCGGTACCCTTCGTGGAACCTCGGTAGTATCTTTGGGAAGACCTACATTGGGTGCGTCATTCCTGTGAAACTTAAAATTAATTTCTCGGATGCAGGATATTTTGTTTCTCTTCTTGTCTCTATTTTCAAAAAGAAAAATAAAAAATACCCATTTACCCGGAACGCTTTGCATAGATGGTTAGTGATCCTAATAGTATTTGCATTTAATGGTACAGGGGTTTATGTTTAACGTACGCACTGGACAATATGTTACTTTTCAGCCCTTGATTCTTATTTTACTTATGTTACATTACCAATGCAAACTAAAAATTGTTTGTTCTTAGAAATATACTTATACGGTCCAAAGTCTTTCCAGCTCTCCGCTGCTATGTGCAGTATTTTCACCAAAAAGAAATACTATTTAGTAACTTTTGATGAGTTCACCAAAATGTCTTAAATCTTAGAGTTTTATTATAATAGTGACAATTGACAAATTAAGTATTGCCGATACTGGTAATAATTTCCTTTGAAATCCAACTCGTGACAACCGTCACGATTTGTACATTTAAATATTGAATTATACAACAGTATCCCAATAAAGCATTCACTACGTTTAAGTCTGTTTATCATATACTTACAGATTATATTTATGAATTATCTTAACCGACTTACTTTGGCGCTAATTTCTACCGACGCATGGCACCGGTAATTACTACAATTTAACATACATTCGCAATATTTGTTAGTGTGACAATCTCGATTATTCGACGTTTGACTTCCAGCTTCAACGCCAGAATAACAACAAAACAGGAAAGTAGGTGCCTTACTTTCAACATTCATAACTAAAAACATTGTGCAGTCATGTACACACTCGTTTATGAAAACAAATCATCGTTGCAAAAGAGAGCTTTTTAACTTACCCCGGTCTGATATAAAATCTTGAGATCACCCTTCTGTGGCGTTGATATTCTCTTGTGGGGTAGGAACGACAGCTTGTCTGGTCTCCTCAGATGTAGTTCTGCTGAAGGCCTGAACGCCTCCAACGGTGTTCTTATCACAGCTCGAACCTCGCAAAGTGCCCACGCCAATAGCAAAGAGATTAACACTTGCATTTTTGGTTGCACTATTAATAAAACACTAATAAATAAATAAACAAAAGTTGATTCAAATCAAATGTAACGTTCAATTTGTTTAAAATTTGTGAACGGTGTTCGATATTCGGCGTTCGTGCGTGATCGGGTCGCGTGCGGTGTGTCGCGTCATGAGGTCGGGCAAGCTCGGACTGGCAGCAGCGCGCCGAGGCAGGTACGACCTAGCCTACGCGCCCGGTATAACCACCTTCGACTGCGACCAGTATGACTTGATTCTTTAGAAGCTTTCCTGTGAATTTGGCGCGAGAACATTTATTCGCTCAATAAAATAAAATAAAATTATTTAATAGTTAGTTAGTTAGTTTTAGTTAAATAGTTTGTGAATGCGCCCCAAATAATCGTATAAACAAACATATGAAAAACCTTTTTTGACAGACTTTTGAATCACAATTATACAGTTAATTCAGATTCCGATTCCAATTATACTAAATTCCGTAAAACTTTATAATAAAGAAATTAATGGAAAATTTATAACGTATGCATTAATTTCAAATGTAAATGGTTTTTAATTAAGTTTATTATTTAATTTCATAATATACACATGAAGTTAAGTATATGAAATAAATTCTCTCAAAAATAGAAATATGGTCATAATCTGCAAACTGATAGAATAATCAAAATTAGGTATAAATTTTTATCTGTCAAATACACCAAAATTACATTTTTAATATTTGATTCAGTCTAAAGTAATCGATGCAATTTCATACAATAAAATACAAACTATACAATTTAGCTGAAAGTTTCAAACTAGGTAAGCGTTATGTGACGTCATAAAATATGTTTTCTTCACGGATCAAGACTATTTGGCTGCGACTGCTTGACTTCCTACCGACGATGTTTTTTTTACACAATCTTGTTGCTCTGTTGCAAAGGTGCGTCCACAAATATTGCGCAGTGTATTTAATAAACATTAATAGGGTTAACTTTCTTATTATTATTTTTACGATTATTGTTTGTATAAGTTAAGAAGTGCCTAACACTTATCTTTGTGTTGTTTTTACACTAAGTTTTTTTTTTATGTACCATACGTAGCTGTTTTACGTAAGTATCAATACTTTTAGCCATAACTATTTACTTTTTATACCACCCCAATGGTAAACAAGTGCAATATGCTGTCCTTATAAGGGATAAAAGAGGACTTTTTAGAGTTTTGTTGTTGTATTTATTTATTGTCTAAGTTTAAATTGTACACGACTGCTGCGGCTAAGGTCAGTAGTGGAAATTGACCATTTAGCACATTCACCAATTTTTCGACCTTTGTCATAGGCCTTTCATAACTTTAATCACCATAAAAACATCAATATAGGTACTAGCACTATTGTTATTTAAAGTAGTAGTAGAAGTAGTATACCTATTTAAATAACTACTAATGATTTTTACTCTAAACTTTGGAATTATAATACACTCAAAAGACTTTAAACCCATAGAATAAAACAAGACACTTCCTGGTTTTAAAATTAAAGCGGAGATCATCTATTTCATTCAAGTGCGTCGAAAAAAGAATACAAAGAAAATAGATAATTCCCGCAACAAGTAAGGTGGTTGTTGTTTCTCGTAATAGTCACTTGACCAACAAAAGCTTTGCCACCGGCCATCGTACATATACAATTGTTTTATACTCAAAACAATACCATTCATGTATTCGTAGAACAGGATTTCAACTCATTGATGTGAATTCGAAAAGATTCCATTGTTAATGTAACGCGACCTTACATCTTCCGTCCTTCTCGCTCCCATTCACCTCGCGGCCGCATGAATGAACCGCTTCTTATGAATGGACACAGTCGCTATAGTACTATATGTACCTACCTGCAATTGTAGGTATAGGTGTTGTTTATATCGAGTTATATGAGTGTCGGGGAATACAGTATGTATAATAATGTATATGCATCGCTGTTGGAACCGATGGCACGTGGTCAATCGTCTTTTTATTCTGTATACGTAATAAATGTTCCAAGAGGCGAACGTTGCTTTTAAAATAAAGCGTGTTTTGCCAAGAGTGTGGACTTTGGATATGATTTATGCTGATATTATTATATAGATTGTATATTTTGTATTTCTACGAACGGATATATACATGTGGATAATTTATGGTTAGGCAACATTTTTTTAAATATGCTTTTTAAGCTTCAATTCATTCTAGTGTGTGTTTTGTCATATTTTCACTAGTGGCAATCTTTTTAGTATCGGACCATTAGGCTCCATACAGCCTTATATAAATTAATTTATAGATAAAAATCTATTGTGACTGTATGTAAAAGTATGTAAAAGAAATCATTCTAAAGAAATGTGCAAATCACTAATTACGAATTTCTCGTCCTGTCAAAGTAAGTACGTAGAGTACAGCAATTGGAATGAAGCCTCTCTTACCGTGGTTTCCCAGAAGTATTTACTACAGTAAGGGGTTTTTCATAAAGATTTTTTCTACTGTAAGTTTTAACAGTAATGTCCGTAAGTCATGACAACTGGTTACGGAGAGGCACACCGTACTTTATAAGGAGAGAATAGACATTTTTTGCAACACTTTTCTAAGTGAATAGTCTAGATTCTAAAAAGTTTATAGTTAACTTAGTAAATATTTACAGCATTGTGAATACATTCATTGTTTCATTATTTGTCGTAAACAATTATCTTAATGCAAAAAGCTTAAAATAAAAATGGTGAATATTATATTCGTCACGTAAGGTTACAATTAGACCTTCGGCAGGCTTGCGTAGGAAGTGAGTTCTTGTACAATCTTTCATTGTAATAATTGGCCTTGTACTCAACAATATTTTTTATTGGTTTTAGTCGCTGTTCTCGCAAACCAGCTGTATAATGAATAAAATTATACCTTTTAATGTATATTATACTTATATACCTACCTGGTCTGGTCTTTGCTATATGTAAATCTCACAATAAATAATAATAATTCATAAAAAGAGGCTGTAGGCGACGATAATCATGTGCCATTTTTTTTGTATTAGTTTCTAAACGACGTCTAAATTAAAATAAAATATTGTGTGACCAACGTACCTAGCTAGTTGAATGTTGTGTATAAAAAACAAAGTGACCGAATGTAGTACTTTTGCATTATAAATATAACAATGAACCTCTTTCTACTTATCTTTTCTTACACAAAGAGGTTTCATAACACGATTGTATGAAAGTACCAATAAAATATTCTTATCCGTAAAGAACATATTATTATACATAAATAATTTTCTTTGACCTTTTACTTGGCCTCGCTTCTATGCTACAATGATTAATTAATTATTTTCACAATAAATTCTTAGGCGAGTTTTTAAATAATTATTTTCATCGCTAAACAAGTTTATAAGTACATTTATTTCTGATAAGTAATAGAAAAATGTAAGTCGTATTTTTTTTTAATGTTTCCTTTATCGTGCTCTGTGGCAAGCATTTCATTTTATAACAGTTTTTATTTATTTTCAATGTTAATATCTTTTAAATTAATTACTTTTATTCAGTACATAGTTAACACTTATCATATTATGTTACTATGTTAACCATTGACAACTGGTAATAAGCAAGGAAACCAAAACGAAACCATTCGGTGAATACGCTACGCTTATCCGCTGTTTCTTCGAGCTTCGAACCCAAATTCAATTGACAAAAAAAAACTTAGTACGGTCACGTTTCCAAGAGTCGTCATAAATGTGGATAACAGAAGAGCACTCGAGCTTTTGTGTAGGTAGAACTAGACAAAGGTGTCTAAAGAGGCACTTCACTACGAGTGGTCAGCGTTTTTTTGCAGCGCTGTTTGCACCTTCTCGCTAAGCTGTCGGCACGCGCACCGACAGGTAGGGTTGTCGAAGATCTCTTGTCGTTAGTTGATATATATTACAAAATATGCAGTAGTATCTTTATATATCTATCTCCACATCAGTTATAGAAATAATTATTTAGAACCGATGAACGATATTTTTATAATTGCGCATATAAAAAATAAAACAAGTCTGTTTCGCATACCAATCAAACGAACAAGATTTTTTGACTGTTCTAAATATAATCCTTGAAGATTTTTAGCCCTTTTGTTTCGAAAAACTATCTAATTTGATTATTTTCCACACATTGATGTACAGACAATTATCTAATTGCAAAATATATGTTATAAACATATATTTAGCAATTCAGAAAATCAGGAAACGTTTTTATGTCATAAAATGTAAAAGTAACGAATTTAGATATTTTCCTTTAATTTTGCTGTTAGACTAAGCAGTCTTTAAAAAGTCAGCATTTAAAAAAAAACATGATTCTAAGTCAATGAGAAGTATCAGTAGGTTAAACTTACCATATCTTTTTCTTGATCATTAATATTTAATTGTTGAACTCCTAGCGTTCCTCAGAAAAGGGTATTAATAGATACTCAGACATACGGACAAGAAAAGGTTCCTTTTTTCATTCGACGAAACGCTAAAATACTAATAACTAATAAGTTACACTTCACACGTAGTAAAGAACACAAGTACGAGTAAGTACGGCAACCATACGATGCAACAATATAAAGGTGCGAATTTGACTAAATCATATGTAAAATAGGTTAGGACGGAGGCTGAAAAAAATTTGTAGTGACGTGCGTTAAATAATTGCCAATTGCAAATATATATAATAGTAATATATTAAAAATTATTTCACCAACCCTATAACTATTTGTTCCTGAATATCAGATAAGCTTTTTTCTATAAGTGTGAACTTAGAAGTGTGAAACCCAATTAAGTTCTATTTTTTTCACTAAATAGTTGTTAGTTTTGTCGAGTCATTTGAGTTTATCTTTTGCGGAAACTCCAGCAACTATAATATGCCTCACAACAAAATTATTTTTTTATTTTAAGGATAATAGCAACATTGGTCTCACATTGTCTACTTGTAACCTCCTCTTGTTAAATTAAATGCTTTAGTTAATTATAAATATTACTATAAATAATAAATAAGATTTGTTTGTGATATGTGACTGAAGT